AATAGAGTGTTTAATCTCCTGGATATCTGTTTGAATCTGTTTTATGGATTCCATTTCTTTCCTATGTTGGGCATTTATTTTTTCCATTACTTTCTTATGCTGGGCCTTCATGTCTTCTATCATGGTCCTGAGCTCATCTTAATTTTTTGTCAGTTTCTGCTCTAGAGTCTCGAATCACGACTTCCATTTTGCTCACTATCTCTATGGTTATCTGGGAAATTATTTCTGTTTTGAATTTTTCTAGAGCCTGATTGATCTGTTTTGTTACTTCCTGTGCTTTGAGTTCAGGGTGTCCTGGTGGTTCACTCTCGGCCTTTTCATCCTCATTTGCCCTGCTGTTTGCCATTGGTAAACTGGAAGTTTGTCCTTGTGTCTTGCTTAAGTGTTTTCTCATTTTTATTTTTGTTGTCAGACTGTCCTTGGTTTAATCTCTGGATTATCACCCAAGTCTTATTAATATAGATCACCCTAGCTTCTGTGTCTCTAACGACCCACAGACATTCTCATTTTCATAACAGCTCATCAAATCAACTGCAATGCTTTATCCCAACTGATACAATCAGCAACACATTAAGATCAAGCACAACTTGGAAGCTGACCACCTGTGGTAGTCACTAGTCTATCACCCTTAAACTATTTGAATTAAATGGAAATCAAGAAGCAGTCCTGAACATGTCTTCAGTGAACAAAATTTCAATATAGTGTATTTACCATTTAATGGCTCAGACAGAGCGAGGATGCAAGTCCCCTGGTCTCAGTTAGCTGATGGCTGAACCCATGACGCTGACTGACCTCGGGCTGCAAGGCCCAGATTGAGTTCCCCAACCTTCTGAATGGTTGAACTCCACAACTTTCTATTACAGGTTTCCCACGCGCTTTCTTTAAAGATGTTCAAAGTTGGGAACTCAGAAAAATACCCCTGATGACCACCTCTGCCTCTGCAGAGTGGGTCCAGAGACTGGCACAGTCAGGAGGTCTGAGAGTGCTGGGAGGGTGGTTAGGGGGTGCAGGGGCACCCGCCCCGCTTCCTTCCCAGCGCTCAAGCGATGGCAGCTGGGGCGGGAGGCAAGTTTAACAGTTTGAGATGGAGCTTGTGCATCGCCATCTGCTAGCTTCTAGGCCACGCTGTCAGTCACCCCCGGGGCTGCCCTGGAGAGGTGAGCCGGAACCTGAGGCTCGCTCCCTTTGGAGGCCCCTCCAGTCGCTCTCCTGGGACAGACACGCAGATCTCGCCTCTGCCTCAGCTACTCTCGGCCCGCTCCCGCCCCCTCGCGGAGGCCGGGATCGGGGGC